AACCCCTGCTCACCCAGGCTCTGGGTGAGCTCAGTGTGCCCCCGACAGGGGCTCCCTCCTCCTCTCCGCTTTCTTAGGCCACTGTAACTGCAGCTCAGGTTGTTTCTAGACTGGTGTTTCAAACTCTCCAAAGTCCCAACTCAGTCAGCTTTCAACCTGAGCCCTCCCAGCCCCATGAGGCTTTTTTGGGGGGCAAAGGGGTCTTTTGAGACAGGGTCCTATTATGCAGTTCAGGCTGGCCTTGAGCTCACTTTAGCCCAGGCTGGTGGAGAATTTGCAATGATTCTCTGGCCTCAGTCTCCCCAGTGCTGGGATTACAAGTGTGTAATCTGTAGCCTCTGGACTAGTATCTTAATTTTAATGTCTTTAAACCTCAATTTTCTCTTCTGTAAGGTGGTATTCATCATAGCGGCCCTAGCTGGTACACACCTGAGATCCCAGAACTCTGGAGGCTGAGGCAGGATGATCACCATGAGTTCAGGGATATATAATGAGTTCAAGACCTCAGCCTAAACTATGTAGAGACCTTGTCTCAAAAAACCTAATAATAATAATAATAACAATGGCCTCCTTTTAGGGCTTTGTGAGCAGAGCCTTGAGCAGCGTGGGCCCCCACAGACTCTACGTGGCAGCTATGACAGAGAGCAGGCTGGTGACGTCTGTGGTTCGGTCTGATAGCTGCAGAAGTCACTGTTACACAAAGGGGCCACGCCCTGGGGGCGCACACAGGCGTGGATCCCTGCTGACCTCGCCCTGTCTGCGCTGGGTTGGAACCCTCCTTTCCCCTCCCCCATCTCAGACTGGGCTAAGGGACCCCCATGCCACCCCCCTCTCAGGCCCTCCTAGGCCGGCTCCTCGACCCAGGCCCCAGGTGAATCCCTCCTCTGTGGGCCCCTGGCTGGGTGTGCCTATCTCTGTTTGCATAACTGTGATTGCTGTCTATCTTGGTCTTTAACTTTCTGAGCATTCCTTCGGGAATTCCCAGGGCCCCTCATCGTCCTGGACCTAACTGGCCCATAGATCCAGCTCACTCAGGAAATATCCAGGGATCCAATGAGCAAAGCTGGGCGTGGTGGTGCACTCTGTCATCCCAGCACTCCGGAGGCTGAGGCAGGAGGATCACTGTGAGTTTAAGCCCATCCTGGGCTACACAGTGAGACCCTGTCTCAAAAACAAAACAAGAGGAAGGAAAGAGAGAAGAAAAGACAAAATAGCTTGCCCCACAGGGTCCCTGCATGACCTCCCAGTACCCCCCCACCCCGGGCCTCTCAACCCTTAAGCCTTGGACAGTACCCTAGTGAGGAGAGTCCCGAGCTCAGCTGGCCCCTGGTGCCTAAGACACAGGGTATCCCTGCATCTTCAGCTGCTGTCTCAGCCTCCTGGTCACCTGGGGACAGCAGGAGAGGCCGCTAGGAACTCGGCACAAGGGGTCCAAAAGATGTGCGCGCTGCCCGTGCACCCTGGGATGGCCCAGCTGGCTGCCTGGGAAAGGTTCCAGCCACCGGCACCCAGGCTCTAGCAAACTCAGAATAAAATGACACCGGATTACTTGGCATGTTTGTCCAGTCGTCACGAAGGTATAGCCTGTGGCCCCGGAAAGAGACAAAAATACTGAGTCTCTACAGGAATAAAGACACTGATCACACAGAGACGGTAGCTGTAGGTGTTCCGTCCAGTGGAGAAAGTCAACCTGGAGACTTCTCCTAAAATAGTTCTAAATTAGCATAAGACACTTCTCCTAAATGAGCGTAAGATCCTCCTAAATTAACATAGTTTTACTTGGAAAAGTCCTTGAACCACTCCCAAGATCCTGCTCAGTTTCCTGGTTTTCCATTCTCAGCCCCTCCCCGTGTGAAAACCAAATAAAAACAGGCCACCCAGAGCGGCTCCTGATCTCAGCCCCCAGAGAATCTCAAATTCTGCTAGCAGGTTTTGATCCTCCTGGAGCCCTAAAATCGTATTTGTCTCATTTACTTAAGGCTTCACTGGCCTGCTCTTTTGGGAGATTGAAGGCCTGATCGGTCAGCAATACTATGTAGCCCAGTCTGGACTTGAACTTGCAGAGATTTTCCTGCCTCAGCCTCTCCAGTACTGGAAGGACTGGCATATGCTGCCCATACACCTTCCAAGAGCTTAGCGCTGGGATAAATGAGGCAGGCGAGCTCACCTCCCCTGGCCACGGACCACCACCGGAGTCCCTGGGATTCCAAAGCACTTGGATGGAGCATCTGTCACCTGCTGTGGCCACGGGAGTGCCTAAGCCTCTGCAGCTCTGTCTTGTGACCAAGGAATTTGCAAATGTGAGCTCTGATCACACCGGGAAAGGTCTCCTGATGTCACACAGCTGCTACCGAGCCATCTGCAGGACCCAAGGTCAGCAGGAGAGGGAAGCCTCGGCAGGAGGTCCCCACCCCCCAGGGCTCCCTGCCACCTCGCCACAGCCCTGGGCAGTAGGCTCTGTGCTCTGCACATGGCCACCGAGGTAGACTCTCCGGGAACCCCAGGGGCCCTGTCTCAACAGGGTGACACCAGCTAGGAGCTGTCACGGGTAGGCGCTGGGATAGCCCGGCAGGCAGTCAGCCCTGGGTAAATGTCACACTCAGCCGCTGGAGTCCTGCTGTCTTCACCTGTCCCTTGGAGATCAGCAATGTCACTGACGGGCCACCAAGAGGAATAAGAAACCATCAACACCACAGCCAGCCCTGGAGCAACTGGTGACCACGGGGACACTGGCCTCATCTGGCTGTGGCCCATGGGGAAGGCCCTGCTAAAAGTCAGGATCCAGAGTCACATGCCAGGCATCGTGGGGAATGCCTGCCCTCCCAGCCCCGGGGAGGCTGAGGCAGGAGGATCCTTGAGTTTGAGCCTAGCACAGACAACATTAGTGACTTAGTGTCTCAAAATAAATACAAAATAAAAAAGGGCTAGGGATGTAGCTCAGTGCAAAGGCCCTGGGTTCAGCAGTACCACCAGAAATAAAAAATAATAAATGAAGAGTTAGAAATGACACAGATGAAAAGCATGCCCAGAAGGGAACATAGTCATGTCAGATTTTTAAAGATCACTTGAAAGGTTTTTTGTTTTGTCTTTTTGAGACAGTGTGAGCTCACTTTGTAGCCCAGGCTGGTTTTGAACTCACAGTGATCCTCCTGCCTCAGCCTCCCGAGTGCTGGGATTACAGACGTGTGTCACCACACCTGGCACTTGTAAGGTTTTTTATTTTCTCTCTTCAGGAGGCTGTTTTTGATTTCCTCGTAAATTGCTAAGGAGATAAAGGAGATGAGAAGGAGAAAGTACGTGGATAGGACACGATGGTTTGATGGGGTGACAGCAGGGACCTGGGATAGGGATAAAGCTCCAGCAAGCTGGGGGAGGAGGCAGGCAATGACTAATAGCAGCTGAGGGCCAGGGCGGGCTCAGGGCCGAGCCCTCCCCTAACACCCAAACACAAACAAACCCAAAGGAAGAGAGCAGCCTCCGCTCATCCAGCACTGGGGAGAATGAGCCAGAGGATCGCCAGGAGTTCGAGGCCAGCCTGGGCTATGTAGCAAGACTCTGTCTCAGAAAACCAAACAAACAGGGCTGGGGATTTAGCTCAGCGGCATAAGCGCCTGCCTTGCAAGCAGGCGGTGGTAAGTTCGATCCTCGGCCCCCATAAAAAGGAAAAAGACAAAAAAAAAAAAAAAAAACAATGTGGAGAGAACAATTTCTCTATAATTAGAAGAACTGGGTGAACAGTTTCAGTGGAAGCCCTAAAAGAGTCACCCCCACCTCCAAGTAAAGAACAGACCTGGAAAAAATATGAACAGAAATGGAGATTTATCTATTTATCATGTATTTATTTTTTGAGACAGGGTTTCACTATGCACTCCAGGCTGGCCTTGAGCTCTCAGCAACCCTCCTGCCTCAGCCTCCCGAGTGCTGGATCACAGGAGCAGGTCACTAGGCCTGGCTTCACTCAGAAATGTGCAGGCTCTGCTCTCCAAGACCACCAGCCCTACACGGGTTCCCACCAGGCCCACTTTTCCCCTGGAACAAAGGGGTGTGACACTTGTTGAAGTTCCTGGTTGTCCCTCCACGGGTATTAATATTTTAATGACTAGATCTGGAGTGGGGACAGAGGGACCCCGTGCAGGGACACTGTCAAGCTTTGCCTGATTGCCAAGCCCTGGGTGAGAGCCTGCCATTTCCTCCCAGCTGCCCTTCCTGTCCCCGTGGATGGGCACTTCAGCCCGCTGCACAGGATCCTTGGCCAGAGCCCGCGGCCCAGGCAGGAGGCTGGCACAAACATTTCCAGCCCCCTTGTGGTACCTCTCTCTTGCCCCTGGCCACCTCCCCTTCCTTGTCTGTCACCTGTTGCCTAGCCTTGGCCCCACCTCCAGCTCACTTGGTCGCTTTAATCCTGGCCTCCAAAACCTTCCGCAGAGCCGGGGGAGGGGCACACAGTAAACTGAGGCAGGAGAATCTCAAGTTCAGTCTGAGGCCAGTTTGGGGCCACAAGTCCAAGGCCAACCTGAGCTACCTGGTAAGATCCTTTTTTTTTTTTTTCTCTTATTTTTATTTTTGAGATAGGTTTTTGTAGTGCGAGCTTGCCTCCAACTCCTGGCGATCCTCCTGCCTCAGCTTCCTGAGTGCTATGATTGACAGATATTTGTCACCATCGCCGGCTTTTAGAGTGAGGTCACGTCTCAAAAATAAATAAATGAAATGAAATATAAAATTAAAAACAAGCCCACGAGGTCTTGGTGCAATGTGGCTTGGGTGAAAACCTGAATCATCGTCAAGGAGTGCAGCCAGCTTCCTCTCTGGGAAATCAGGGCAGTGTGCAGGGCGAGGCCATGCCGTAAACAGAATGAGTAATAAGGTCAGAAGCCGATGGGGCCCGGGATCACGGCTGGATGCGGCTGCGGCTGGGGAAACGGAAATGGCTCCGGCGCAGGCTGTGAATGGGGCTGAGAACCAGGCGGCCCCGGCTGCGCATGCGCGGGTGGGGTGGGGGCGGGGCGGCCGCGACCTCCCGGGCTCCCGCAAGGCGCCGTGCGCATGGCCGCCCGTGCACGGTTGTGGGGTCCGCCAGGGCTGCGCGGTGGCCGGCGGGGACCTCACACCTCTGCTGGGTGGCTGTGAACCGGGGAGACTGCGTCATGCGGTTGCATCGTAAGCCAGGCCTGCACCGCGCTGAGCCCCAGCGTTGTAAAACGCCCATGTCGGTGGTTGGCCCGGAGCAGACGCTGTGTGTGTGCTGGCTAAACACGAGGAACCTGCCCCGCTTAAGGTGTCCGCTGCCGAGGTCAAGGCGGCTACGGTGAACCGCGCTGACGGCTGGACTTTGAAAAACTAACTTGCATTTCAGGAAAGAATAGGAAAACACAGCACCCTGGCGTGGCGGCGCGGGCCTTAACCCCAGGCAGTCCGGAGGCTGAGGCAGGAGAATTGCTGCGGGTTCCAGGCCAGGCTGAGCTGCACAGGGAGACCTGTCTCAGAACAGCCCTCCCTAGGAGACAGTGCAAAGCGGCGGGAGTTACGTGTGTTTTTCTCAAATCTTTGGCGCGGTAGTGTTTGGACAGGAAGGAAGGAGAGGGGAAATGAGTGTGAAATAACAAAGGAACACGGTGCTGGAAGGCCTGATTGCTGGGACGGACGTGTTCATTAACTGAGCCGCTCAGGGGGCTGGGGTGGCACTTTGCAAATGCAAACGGTGACCGTGAGCACGACAGAGGCCTCCAGGGCTTCCCCAAACAGGCCAATGGTGCCCGGTGTATTTTACCACATGCTAATGTTTAGAAAAGGCGCGAATTTTTGCGATCTGGTGTGTGGTGACTTTCACGCCACCTGGGAACTTTCTGGGCGTCATAACAGAAGAGGGCCGGAATTTAGTTTAGTGATGCAGCCACTGCCTGGCAGGTGCAAGGTTCTGAGTTCGCCTCCGGTGCGATTCCTGGTACCAAGCAAACAGTGCATTGACCCATTATGCTTGGTAGCACGGGTTTAATAAATACGCCTTTGTTAAGCCAGGATTTCCCTGTGCAGTTCAGTAGTACAGGCTGGCCTTGAACTCACATGGGTCCTCCTGCCTCAGCCTTCTGAGTGCTGTAATCACAGGTTTGTGCCCCACTCCTCTTGCTCTCTGAGCCTGATGCTGGACTCTGCACACCCATCAGACACAAACCCATCGGAGGCTTTGGTTCGGCACTGGGACCCGAAGAGGTGGCCCAGCACCCACATCCTGCTGGCGGGGGTGGGGAGGGGACGGCCTCGCGGGTTCCAGCATCTCCGGGTAGCACCGTGCATTGGTGACCTGTGGCTGTTACCCTGCCAGCCCGCCCCTCGCGGCGGAAATGCCACAGCTCTGAGGCGATGCGCGGCCTGACCTGCAGCCCCAGCGCCGCCCCTCCCCCAGCCAGTTCCTAAACTGGGCTCCCCCACCCCGCGCGCCCCCTCCGCGTTTTACACGCTGTAACCCGAGAGGCGGCGAAGGCCGCTTCTTTCATCTTCCATTTCCCACATTCTGAAAGTCGGAGAGACGGAGCCCACCCAGAGAAAGGAATCCCAAGTATGCGGCCCCCTCCATCAGCTCCATTCACAAGGCAGATTAAGGGGGGCCGGGCTCGCTAGGCCTCCCGCCCTGCCCCCACCGCCCGGTCGCCTCCCCACACCCCGGGCTCCGGAGCCCCAGTCCACAAGCTTCCAACCAAAAATTAACTTTTCTCTGGACTCCGACCCAAAGGAAAGCGGCCCGGCTGCACCCCGACACTGCAGCCGCAGGATTTCCACTAACCCGCCTCTGTGCCCTCTTTATTTTATTTTAAATGTTTTTTAAAAGACAGGGTCTCACCACGTAGTTCAGGCTGTCTTTTAACTCACTGTGTAGTCTAGGCTGGTCTCGGACTAGCCAGGACACTCCCGCCTCAGCCTCCCAAGTGCCGGGATTACAGGCGTGCACCCCACTGCACCCGGCTGAAGGTTAAAGTGTTGGGGAATGGTAATTTGCGCTCACTCTCCTTCAGGGGATGGGGAAGATGCTTTGAAGCCAGACGGGCTCGGCGATCATCAGGTCCCTGAGGCTTGCAGTGAGGCAGCTTTTGGGCTGGCCCGGCGGGCTGAGGTCAGCGAGTATATTTACCGGATTACTAACCCGGTTGAAGCCTCAGCCCCCTGCTCCGTGAGCAGGAACCCGGGCGGAATGATTGCTCAGAACCTTCCCAGATCCCAGGAACTCGGGAAGCCTGGCCTGGGAAACCACCGTGACCTTCAGAGAAGCCTGACTCTGTCCCCCGCAGCCACAGGATCTGTGCCTGCACCCAGTGAGTGTCCTATCGGGCCTCAGTGTCACCCTGGCAAATATTAGGGCTCCTCGATAAAGCAGGGTGTGAGCCCGGGCCAGCAGCTCTGCTCTGGAACTAATGGGGCCCCGGACTCTTCGCTGTGTTCCCTCGAACTGAAACCCCTTAGCCCGTTCCCGGTGAATCCCACATACGTTTATAACCGGAGCCACTGGCCTGCGCTCAGGAGCCAGGTCTGCTTTCTACTGCTGGTTTCTAAAAAGAGTTCTTACTCTCTGCCCCCCGGTTTTCTTCTTCTATGTCCAGTCCTAGTATGTACTGTGTCTCTTCTAGCCGAGGCTGGCCTCAAACTCAGTGATCCTCCTGCTTCAGCCTCCTGAGTGCTGGGATTAAGAATGCACAGCTGGGGTCTGGGGATTTAGCTCAGCGGTATAAACGCCTGCCTTGCAAGCAGGCAGTTGTGGGTTCAATCCCTGGTACTGATAAAAACAAAAAAGACAAAAAAAAAAAAAAAAGCACAGCTGTGCCCTGCAAGAAACTCACATAGGGAGCTTTTCTACAATCCCCATACTATGTGCTTATTTTGTATTACAGGGGATGGAACCAGGGCCTCCTGCATGCTAGGTAAACATTACCACTGAGCTACATCCACTACCCTTTTTGAGTCAGTGGGCATCTTTCTAAATTGGCCTCATTGGCCTTGAACCTGTATTCCTCCTGCCTCAACTTCCCAGAGGGCTGGGATTACAGGCAAGCACTGCACCTGGTTTGACATTCCAGATTACATTTTGTTTGTTTCATTTGTTTGCTTGTCTTATCTTTTTGAAACAGGGTCTCACAATGCAGTTCAGGCTGGCCTTGAACTCACTATGTAGCGGAGGCTAGCTTTGAATTTGCAGCAATTCTCCTGCCTCAGCCTCCTGAGTGCTGGGATTACAGGCATGCACCAACACACTTAGCTATATATATATTTTTAAAATGGTTTTCTTGCTGGGAATTTAGCTCAGTAGCATAAGCTCCTGCCTCGCAAGTGCATGGTCGTGAGTTTGATCCCCAGTGCAAAAAAAAAAAAAAGTTTTTCTTTTTCTTTTTTTGAAGGGGGAGGTACAATTTCAAATATGTAAAAACAGTAGACAAAAATGTAACTGTGTATGTGGCATTCTGGAGGCCCTGGGTTCTATCTCAAGAGTAAAAAAGAGCAAAAGGAACCATTCGTGCTTGTGCTGTGCAGAGCCAAGGAAGCGGCCGGCCGGGGTGATTTGGGTCCCTTGGCCGCTTTGGCTGTGGCCTGGCAGTGAATCCTGATCACGGCCAGGTCCGCCCGCAGCTGGTGCTGTGCAGAGTGCTCCTCCTGGGCCGGCTGAGCCTGGAACTCTTGGAGGATTAAGGCAACAGAAGACACCAAACCAAGCTGAGAGAAGGACTCTGCAGGACCAGAACTCAGCCCAACAACCTGGGCATGAAGCCGCAGCTAGGCCTGATGCTCATGCGAGACGGCCTGGCGGCAGGCAGGACTGCAGCACTGCGGGGCTGTCAGGGCTGCAAGGCCCCAGCTGTGAGACCTGCGAGGAGGGGAAGGTGGGTTTCCCCGGGTACCCCGGGGCTGCAGCTATGGCGAGGAGTGCGGAAGGAGGTGGGCAGCAGAGGGGGACAGCGGCCACGTGTGCGTGCACCTGTGCATGTGTGCGTGTTTGTACGTATGCATGCTTGCATTCTGTGTGTGCATGCATGTGTGTACGAGTGCGCATGCTTGCATTCTCTGGGTGCATGCCTGTGCTTTGTGCCTCTTCCTGCAGATCCGCTGCCCCAGTTCCTGCTTTCAGAAGCTGAGCGACTGTTACCCCGCCGGCCTGGGTTTGGCAGAGCCCAGATCGGGTGGCTCACCTCGGGGACTCTATAAGGCCGGCTGAGGAGGGAGCAGAAGGTGACAGCCAACGACTTGGCCACCCATGCACCTGGAGCCTCTGCACTGCTGTGGCTACCGTGGCTCCCGTGGCTCTGGAGGCTGGGAAAGTAGGTTAATCTCCCCGAGAAACAGAAACACGAAATAGGTGGCAGGGAGGAGTTTCACATCCGCTGTTTAATTGCCTCAGACCCGGAGCTGTGAAGCACAAGGAATTCCGTGTGTCCTTATGTTACCTCTTTGTCTTTCAGGGCCTTCCTGGTCTGTAGCCTCTGCTAAGTACCTGGGCTGAGTGCTCTGCCCGGAGCCTGCCCCACACCGTACCGTCTCCTGGGATCTCAGGCTTCAGCACCGAGACTGAACCGAGGGCCTTCACGCTGAGCGACATCCCCAACACTTTTAAGAAAATTTTATATTGACTTCAGCATGTGGGAGGCTGAGGCAGGAAGATCACTGCGACTTTGAGGAGTTTGACACCACATTGGGCTACAGCGTGAGTTCGAGGTCAGCCTGTGCTCCTTAGCCAGATGCTGTCTGGATAAAATCAAAATAAATAAAATATTTGATGGCAAGGTCTAACTAAATCAGCCTGGGTGCGCCCATGTGATGGTCCTGCCTCAGCCTCCCAGAGTACTGGGATTAAAGGTGTAATACCACCTGAGTAAATATTTTTCCAGTTTGTTGTTGTGCTGGAGATTGCAACTGGGTTGTTCGGCAAGCTCACTGCCGTTGGCCACAGACCCAGCTGAGCTGGAGACACTTCATGGGAGTCGGCATTGAGGACCCAAAGCCTGCAGCAAGATGTCCTCAAGTTGTTATTTTGATTTCTGCACATGGTGCTCGTGATAGGCATCAGGGTGTGCAACCCTGCAGATCCTCAGAAGCATGAAGCTCTTCCCAGGTGGTTACATGTGACGTCTGATCCTCCGAGATCATCAAGATGACACCCCGGTGCCGCTGTCACGCCACCCAGGCACATGGGTCAGTGTCTTTTCAAAGGGGTGAAAGTAAATTATTGATCAGGATGTCCTGGAGGAATTACAGAGCACATTATCCTCCAGGTGTGATCAAAACATACGGTGAATTTTGTTTTTTTGTTTTTTGGGACAGGGTCTCATTATGTAACCCAGGTTGGCCTCGAACTCACAGGGATCCTCCTGCCTCAGCCTCATGAACAATGGGATTACAGGTGTGTGTCGCCACACCCAGCCTGTGTGTTTGAGACAGGGTCTCACTAATGTAGTGCGGACTGGCCTTGAGTTTACTATGTAGCCTAAACTGGCCTTGCACTTGCAATGATCCTCCTGCCTCAGCCTCCTGGAGAGTGCTGGGATCACAGATATGTGCCACTACACCTTGTTGCATCCTTTCTGAAGCAGTTCTAGAAGTCCTGTTTCCCGAGCACCCTTAGGAAGTGTGATCAAGAATTTGGTGAAGGTTACTGCTAAGTGCATTCAGCAAGAAGACGGGCTCCTAAGAATGTGATGCTCTGTCCTCAGCCCCCTTAGTCACTGGATCTGGGACTGTGTGACTCCTGGCTCTTCCTCAGAGTCAGAATGGCCAGGAAAGAGAAACATTTGGAATTGACAGGGACATCAAAGCAGCCAGGACAGGGCAACTAGAGACACTCATGGAAGGGGACTCCAGAGCTGTCTCAGAATGTGGCGAGGGTGGTGGGATGAGTGTGTTGCAGAGGATTTGAGGGATAGTCCTTGTTTGTTTTTGGTCCTGATGGGGATTAGTAACAATGTGTCTTTGACTGCAATACATTTTATTTTTGTCTTTTTGAGACAAGGTCTCTATGCAGGCTGGCCTTGAGCTCACTTTGTAGCCCAGGCTGGTCTCAAACTCTCAGCGATTCTCCTGCCTCAGCCTCCTGAGTGCCCGGATGACAGTGTGTGCCACCACGCCCAGCTGTAATACTTTTTAAAAACTTCGCCATCTGTCCCTCTAGTTTCCCATCACCCCACGTAGCTGACACACCCAGCTTTTTGGTTTTTATCTCCTTGGCTTTTTTGCCACAGCCCATCCTCAGGGGCTGCGATTTTGGCTGTGATCTCTGCTGCTAACCCAGTTGACACCTCAGTGCTGAGCAGGATAATCACAGGTCCTCGACACAAAGCAGAGCTGTTTGGTGGCCTCTTTACCCATCAGCCTGACATTGATACGGACACCGGTGTCACGGGCTGGGGACGTGAGGAGGGGTGTTTTCATGTGACACACGGCTCTGCTGGCCCCAAACAGGGTCATTGGATTTAGGATAAACCCCCCTGAATCCCTGGCATCAAATTCTCTGCAGTGACTTCTCTCCCACGCCCCCGCATGGAGGACAAACACCCCGTCTCGGGTGGAGCGTACACCGTGGACACCTTGCTCTGTACAACCCTGGAAAAGAAAAATAAGATTAGGGAGACGAAGCGGGGAAAGGAGCCTCAGCAGCTGGGTCGTTTTTAAAGGAGAAAATCACGTTGCCCAGAATTTCCAGTAAAACCCTTAAGATCGCGCAGTTCATCCCCAAACTATGTGTGGGATGCTGGAAGCTCCTGCCTCTGCAACCCCACCCCCCAAATAGAGCTCCCCCAAAAAAAAACAAAAGCAGATGGGCGGCATCTGAGCAACCCCAGCTCCCCAGGGCCCACAGCGCCGGCCCGGATGCTAATGGCGTGAGTAATCAGAAACCTACATTTGGTAAATTATTTATCTTATCTCTGGAACTCAGCAGAACATCGAAAGCAGTAACTTCTGAAGAAAGATGTTGTCGGTCAAGAACTCCAGCTGGATTTTGTACTTTTACTAGAAAAGGGAAAAGTTCAGAGACCAGTGGGGCCCGGGAAGCAATCTTTTTTTTTCTTTTCTTTTTGTTTAAAGCCAAGGAAAAGTGACTTCACAGTTCCGAGGAACAGGTCTGCTTCGTGTTCAGCCTCAGGGCCCAGAAAACCCGCCCGTATTAGGATAATAATGGAGCCAGCCAGGGCTCACCAGCCTCCTTCTCCACCCTGCAGCCCACAATTGCAGCTCAGGACTGAACTCCCAACTGGCACCCGGTGTCTTCAGGGACTTTACCCTCTGGCTGCTGGCCCTGCTGCACTTCCTGAGTCTTTTAAAATATTTATATGATATTATACATAAATATATTAAGACAGGATCTTGCTGTGGCAGGCTGTCCTTGAATTCAGTATATAGCCCAGGCAGGCCTCAAACTCATGGTGATTCTCCTGCCTCAGCCTCCCAAGGAATGGAATTACAGATGTGATGTGCATCCCCCTTCCAGCTCCAGAGTTTCTGGATCTTTAGGCCTGCCTGGGCGGGGCCTGCAAATTCACATTGCAACCAAGTTCGTTCAAATCCAGCCTGAGCTATATGGGGAGACCTTGTTGCTTCAAAAATAAACTGATCAAAATCCCCAAGAAGTATATTTGGGGCACATCTGTTGGACTTGTGGGTGACAGGCACGCTGCACAGTAGCTGTGTGGTCTGCAGGGGTGAAACGGACTGCAGACCCCACAGGAAGCCCACAGAGGTGGGCTCCAGGTGCCCCTGGGCACCACCCCACCGGCTTCCTATCACCTGCTGACAATGTACCCACTCAGAGTGGTGGCCACCCTTTTTTATGGTACTGGAGATGGATACTGAGTGACGTCCCCAACTCTATCATTATTACCATTATCATCTTAGTTACTATTTTTTATTTTTAGACAAGGTTTTGCTAAGTCACGAAATTTGCCCAGCCTGAGCTGGAGCTTTGGATCGTCCTGCCTCAGCCTCCTACAGTGCTGAGATGATGGCTCTGCACAGTGATCAATGCCTAGGTTCCTCAGGGTCACCACCAATGCAGTCACCTGTCACCCAGATTTCTCCCCATGCCCTTTCACCCCAGCAGCTGTGCTCAGCAGCATGGTGAAAGTCCCCATGCCTGTGTCTTTGAGATCTGTCCTGTGCTTTCCAGGGCGGATTGAAGAGTTGGGGGAGGGAGCACTGGAGCCCAGGAGCTGGGAGCTGGCCTCTTGGGGACAGTTAGATTTGCCCACACTCATGAGCACAGGCTGTGTACAGGTGAATGTCACTCTCTTCACCTTGTGAACTTTCAAAATAACCATTCTTAGGGGAATGGGAAAAAAAGAACCAGGTTACGTCATGCACAGGTACAAATTCCCCGCGGTGAATGTGATTATGTATACCTCAAATGTACTAATTAACCTAATTAATTAAAAAATAAAGTAAAAAAAAATAAAATAACCATCTTTCACCAGGTATGGTAGCACAGAGCTGTGATCCCAGCACTCAGGAGGCTGAGGCAGGAGGATCTCAAATTCCAACCCAGCCTGGGCAGTTTGTGACTTGTTGAGACCCTGTCTCGGCAATACCACCAACAACAAAAGTTCAAAAAGAGTTAGTGACGAGCTCAGTATGAAGGGCCTGGGTTTAATCCCCAGTGTCACAAAAATTAAAACGCAGTGAGTAGTAAAACCCTCTTTTGGTTGTTTTGTTATTGTGGTTGTAGCAGAGACCAAACCCAAGGGGCTGGCACTGAGCTACATCCCGGCCCCACCCTCTGCCCTTTTTTTGTGGCCTGGGAACTAAAACTCTTCACACAAGCTACCCCTACCGCCCTTTTTTATTTTGATAAATTCTCACTAGGTTGCTAGGGCTGGGCTCAAACTGTCAATCCTCCTGCCTCTGCCTCCCCACTGGTGGGATCACAAGCACATCCCACCTGGCCCTGCTGTCAAACCTTTTCTTTGGTAGCAGCAATTGAAGTCTGGGTAGTCAAAAGGGATGTTCTAGCTTCCTTTGCTTTGAAGTTCTTTTTTTTTTTTTTTTACTGTTTTGTTTTGTCCTGTTTTTTTTTTTTTTTAGACAGGGTCTCACTATAAGTTTGCTCAGGCCGGCCTCGAATGCTTGACAATCCTCCTGCCTCAGCCTCCAGAGTACCGGGATTGTAGGCATCCGTTACCACACTCAGCAGAAGGTAGTTAAAGCCTGGCGGCAGGCAGTTACTTTAAAACTGGGACTCTGTTCTGACGGCCGGGCGTGGTGGTGCGTACCTGTAATCCCAGCACTTGGGAGGCTGAGACAGGAGGATCGCTGTGAGTTCAAGGCTAATCTGCGCTACATAGTGAGATCCAAACATTTTTCTCCATCCTGCATTTCTAGTCCCAGCTCATTCATTTTGGTTACTGTAGAGAAAATTCTTTTTTTTTTTTTTTGTCTTTTTCCTTTTTATCGGTACCGGGGATCGAACTCACGACTGCTTGCTTGCAAGGCAGGCGTTTATGCCGCTGAGCTAAATCCCCAGCCTGTAGAGAAAATTCTGATCCGCCGCTGGACATTGAACCCAGCTTCACACAGAGCTACTTCTCCGCCCCTTTTTAATTTTGAATTTTAGAGACAGGATCTCCCTAATGTCACTGAGTTGCTCAGGTCGGGCTAGAATTTGCAGTCCTCCTGCCTCAGCCTCCCAGCGCACTGGGATTCCAGGCTCTCACACCACCCGGCCTGGTTAAATTTCTAAAATTGTTTGGATCGCTTCCAGGCTCCCAGATTTCCTTGGGCAGCAATGCACAGGCGCATT